TCCCTCCCTCCCTCCCCTCTACGTTAACGAGGATATTATAAGCATGTACTCTATTCTCTGAACTGTAGGCCCTTTCTCACAGGAAGCTCTTAAAACATTCAAGAAACTTTTCTTTTTCCATATTTTAAGCAGATTGCCTTAAGTCAGTTCCTACACTATCCATAGATCTCTACATAGCATTTGAATTGTATACTTCTCAGAATTTGATGAAAATAGTTCTTTGCTCAAAAATGTTACGTGGTAAATATAAAAATGTCAAGTCAGGAATATTTCATGGCAAAGCATATTTTAAAATTTGTTTTTGCATCGATTAAAAATATTGATGATACAATAGGACACAGCAACAAGAAGAACCAGAAATAAATCGACCTCTCTCTTTTACAGTGACATTTCTTTGCTCTACACTCAAAGCAGCTCACCTGGACTCCAAGCAGAATTCCCTTCCGTGGCAATTTAAATCCTGCAGAGAGCATTGCTTTCAGGAAGGCTGAGTGAACATTTTCTCCAAAGCCAGCCACCTGGGCATTGAGGGAGAAGGAGAAAAAGAGGGGCCAAAAGAGATAAAGATTATAGTTTAATCAAGGGCACTGAAACAATAAACAATTTATAAAAAGGGGTCATTTCTCCTCTTTTCTCCTATTTGTAGCTCTTGAACCAGCCAGGGAACTGGCAGATCAGCAGAGATGAATCCTATATTTTAATTAAGCATTAATGAAGGGATAAGGAATATTTTACTTTCAAACAGCACACCATGGAGCAACTTAAATGGAATCCTACTATGAATGATGTAGATGCCAAGCACAGCTTCTGGTTCATAAGCATGAATACATTCCACAGAACATTGATGCTACTTAATGCTTAAATAACACTGAGGGTTATAAATGCTTCTCTGGGCCCATAAATGAATTATATTGCCTTTCATAAGAATGCAGGATTGCTTAGGGAGTGTAGACATTTCTTGATTATTTGAGAAGCTGTTGCAGCTCAACACAACACACAAAAAGTATAGGTTGGAAGCAAAGGAATGAGGTGCATTTTGCATATAGCTTAATATGCCAGATTTAAAGGATTACTGGCTGAGAATTTAAACAACGATCCAAGTCCCAGAAAATAAAAGATGTAATAGGGACAAGTAATAAAAAAAATTGCAAGGTTGGTGCCCAGTGTCAGCTTCTGTGTATTTTGATAAATTGCTTGATAAATTAGTCCAACCAATGATATTTAAGTTCCTTAGCAAGTTATATTGTCCATAATATGTGAGGTTATTCTTCAATTTCTCTGTTATTATTTGATAGAATTTGAATTTTACTGCAGGTATTGTTTTGCAATCAATTGATGAAAAGAGAATAACAAACCAATTGCACAGTGATGAAACCAACAGCAGCGCCTGCTAATGTATCTATTTATGAAGGAGTGATTAGAGGCATCATTCACTGTTGAATGCCAAGCATTAATGCTTTAGACTGTATGTTATATTCTAGAAATAAGCAAACATTTCACAAATCATGGCCATGTCTTCAATTTTCTTTCCAAAATAGTGAAATGTCCTGCGCTATCTTCATAGTTTCAGGAAGAGAAGAGAAAGAAGAGGGATGTAGGTTTCCTTTGTAAGAAGACATTGTTAAAGCAGTAGAATGGAGCTAGACAAACAGAAGAAGTACCATTCTCTAGGCAATATTCTAAATGGAACAAAACAAAAGCTTTACTGTTCTGGCTTGCAAAATTTTACATCAAATTGCTGTTCTACTTCTCCCTTGAATATATCAGGTTCATGTATTACACTAATCTATAAATCACACTTTATAAATCATGAGACTTAAGGAGATATAATATGCTAAATCAAACCCAGAAAAAATAATCTTGAATATAATGGGCCCCAATAATTGAGTTTTATGCAACTTTCAAAATAGAAATGATCAAGCTTGTATATTAAATATTGAGATGGGGAAAGGAAATATTATCTCAAAAGTTTAAGCTGCTGCTATTGGCACTTATAAGTGTTGGAAGTTCCTATTTAAATCTAAGCTCATTCTGTTTCTATAGCTATTCATATCCATGCATTTAAAATGCATTTGTAGAATAAAGTGACTGTTTTACCAGTGGAGAGTTATTACCTTCTATTCACCGGCAAGAAAGACCTTCACAATTTTCCTATTTTATGGCAATTGTGAATATGGATCTTTCTAAGTCATAAAAGTTAATAATCTCTCCTTTATGACTAAAATATTCTTTCTTACTATCTAGCACTTAGAAAAATAATCTTCATCCCCGGGCTAAAATATTATTCCTTTTTTCTTTTGTTTCTAATGAAATCAAGCCCCTTCAAAAAGTTAGAAGGACAATCAGCTTTTCTCTCTCCATTAACTAGCCTCAAAGCAAAATTTGCTGCAGTTGTGACTCTGAGTTCAATTTCAGCAGCAGGGTGATAATGATAAAAACATCCTTGAAAGATATAGGACATGTTCTAGTATTAGCTATACAATATTATAATTTCATGTGCCTTTACATGTGAAAAATGGGCCTTGTAATTCAATCAAGTTCACTATAATTATATTGCAATCCTATAACACACTTTTGGAACTAATCTGTTATTGAATAGGACTGTGTTTATCACGTATTTGAAGCACTTGGGCGTAAATGTGTTTAGAATCATAAAGATCAATATAATGATCCTTTTATTTCGATTTACAGTATACTCTAATTTATTTATAACATTTCATCAGTCCTTATTGACTTTAAAACTAATTCTCATATAAATTTAATCACCATACTCACTCAAGCCAAAACTAATCATAGCTATGTTGCAAGTATAGAAAATTCCTGAGGGAGAAATATAAACTGTGCCCATTTCTGAGACCTTACACATAATACAGACACATACGTGTATGTCAATATGATATTTGAGTAATTTTTCTCTTTGAAGAATGTTTACTAAAATGATATGGGTAGAATTATGATAGAATTATGAAAATTCTTCCTTCTAATTCAGTATAATATTCTTCCATAACAATCAGGTGGACCACTTTATGTTGTTGCTGTGTAGCTCAATCAGAATACAGCTGGAAGGGACCTTGGAGGTCTATGACATTGACCTTGGAGCTAGGGCATTGTTTTCGATGGTATCCCTATTTGAATACATGCAGACATACAGGCCCTTATCATGCTTAATCACCATTACCAAATTACTATGCACATTTTGCACATGCAGCATTGTTCATTTCCCCCTATCCTCAATTTGGAGTACCTTTCACAAGAACCTAAATATTCAGTCCCTGAATTGGAGAGACTTAAAAGTATGGAAAATTTGAAATAGCTGGTCAAAAAAAGTTTAATAAAAATATGCAGCTCAAATGTTGAACTCTATCCCTAGACAGACGAAGTCCATCATCCCCCTTTGGGCAGCAGGATGAAACCTCTACTTGGGTGATTTCACAGCATTTGAA